CCAATAGAAGGCTATGTGCTGTATTTAAGGTGTATTTACCTTGCACAAGAATGAACAGTGGCTTTTTCTTCAGTTAGCCTGTTCCACAGCTTGGGTCAGTTGCTAAAGGCTCTTTCTTGAAATACCATCTCTCTTGATACCTGCTGTGCGGACCTCAGCCCCCTGCAATCATAGAAATTTAGAAAGTCCCACTGAAAAGGCAAAAGCCATACATTCTCTTAGAAGACTTGCATGACCAGCTTCACCTTCATGTGACAAAGAGGAGGCAGGTCTTTTCATGCATCCTGCTTGACTCAGCCCAATGGAGATTTTAGGACTGGCCCAGGTTTTGCTGCAGAACAAGCATAGCCAAGCACGATGCCTGAGCCCAGTATTATAGAAGCAACTAAACACCCAGGCTCTGGCACAAACGTGCTTTTCAGGCTGTCTCTATGACACTAAGCAGATAGGTACCTCTATAGGCAGGGTAGTGGAGTCGAATCCATGGCAGATACAGGGTGATGCTGGAGACCTGGTAACTCCCATAATTTACTGCAACATTCAGGCAGTTACTTGCAAGTATCCCACTTCATCTCCAGACTTCAAGTTTTGGCTTTATTTTCTTTCCTATGATAAAATCCTAGCTCTCTTTCAAGAACTGTATTAAGATCCAGGTCATCCCAGAGGGTGGGGGAAGCAAGAGGATTTCTTAAAGCTAATCCAAATTTACCAGTAAGCTGTAACCTACACAGCTAGACGCCAACATCTGCTGACCCACAAGCATGCCACTCATTACTCGTGGGCATGTATGCATTAAACATCTGAAGCTGCCAAAGCTCTGTGACGGATCAGACCATTTATGATATTTCTCTATCTTAGGTGATGGTCTCTGCCACCCCCTTAAGAACTTACAGCTTAGTGCCACCTCCCAGCTTCTGGTAAGCACGCCCTATGGAGGATATCTTTCCATGCCAGCTGCACCACCACCATTTAGAAAGAAGCCAATGATACATACTTTGCTGTTATCTGGCCTGCACTGCAGCCATCTTGGACAGAGCATGCACCAGTTTGAACACAGATTGATCTTGCCAAAGCCTGTCTTGGCCTCCCAAAACCACTGCTGCCTCAAGCAACTTCTTGTTGGAAAGCAAGTCACCTCCTTGCTGTTCTATCATGTTGTCCTTACATGGTTGCTGGGGGGAAAAGAATCCTAAATTCAGCCATTGTCAAGGTAAGCACAAAGTTTACTTCCAACACTACTGGTTTTTCTCCTGGTACCTTGGAAATGAGAAGCCTCAGGAAGAGTTTGAAGACTCAACACCTAACACCCAGGTTTTACAGCAGATATTGAACACACACTCCTGGCCCTAGATAATCAAAAGGAAACTCCCCCAACAAAAAGGCTGACTTACAGTGAGGTAGGAACAGGACAGACTCAGAAAACAATTACGGTCTCCAATTCATCATTCAAATGTAGGCAAATATTTAAAACTTACTTTAAAACAGGGCTCATGCTTATTTTCCAGGGCAAGCAGTGCTGGAAACAGGACTGTAAGGTTTACATTTGATATCGCTGCCTCAACAGTAGTGTCTGCATATATGCAAGGTACAAGGAAAGAACTGCCCATAGCTCAAACATCCAGACCCACAGCACAGACATAATCAAAAAGACTCGCTCTTTATTTTGAACATAAAAAGAAACACTTTACACAGCATTGTTAGAACTATTCAGTACCTGCATTCCAGAATTGTGCCAAACACTTCATTTTATAACTTTGAAAGTAAAACAAAAGAAAGAAAATATCTTGCCCTTCTGCTTCTTGATGTTCAAGCTTGTCCTGGATCAAAATTCCAAGTGCCTGGAGGAATTGGAATTTACCAACTTAACCAGGAGATGTGGCAACGTGAACAGAAGATCAACGTGAGCCCTTAGGATACTCTGACAATATCAACGGTTGCAGCAGGGAGGATATGGATGCTTACACTGCATCTCAGGCAGCTTACTTTCCTGATACTCTGCAGGTTTAATACACAACCAGATGCACACACACCCCTCCATTCACACAAACTCCAGTCACACACTTAACAATAATAATAATAAAAAACATGAAAAGTTACCTAGATTTTTTGTTTTTTTCTTTAGAGATAAGATTCTCACTCTATTTTAAAAAAAACGGGGATAATACAAAATTGGCACAAGTAGAAGAAAACCTGGGGGGTAAGTCTGGCCCCTCAGCTTCTAGCCTTCCAACTACAGCAAATCCAGGGCGGAAGGGGATGCAGCATTGCCTTCCAACAGGCTGGCAGCAGTATGAGCTAGCAGCAAACTTGCTTCATTTGGAATGACAAAGATGGTTTGTTACAGGCCATGAAGGAAGGTCAGCATTACCTAAGGACATGGGGACCTTTCACTAGAGCAGGGAGCTCTGACCAAAATAACCCTGAGTTTTTTCCAGCAGGGAGGAAGTGTGCTACGTTGTGTGCTTGGGAAGAGCTGGCACTTCCCTGCTCATTCATTCCCTAATTATTGCATTACAGCCATGATCCTCTCTCCCTAAAACTTAACCAAGAACACGTTATCAAGGAGTCAGTCTGCAAGGACAGAAAGCGACTGATGCTGCGAACTTCACCACCACTACCACCCTTCCCCAAGATGCCCCAATGCCACAGTTCTTCCGTGAAGAAAGTGGATCTTAATGCAGGAACGAAGCTGCTAGATCAGTGTGGGAAGGACAGCCAGCATCCCAAACATCAGAATGGTTGTTTCACAACATCCAAGGAAAAAGCAAGATTTTATTACAGCAGACAGATAGAAGAGGAAGAAAAAATCTTGCTGTGAAAGTAATATCTGAGTGAATCCTTTCCTCAAGTCCCTTCCTTTGGAAACCATTGATACAGATTTCTGGGCTTTTACAGCGGAAGCTAGAGACTGCTTCTGCCCTGTTCCTCAGCAGAGGCAGTTATGCCTGCCTGCAACATAGGACTTTTCAGAGCTCTTTCAGAAAATAAAACATCAGGCCAGAAAGAAAAACTGCTATGAATGTTCAGGCCAAAGTCTTCCAGAGGCTCATAAGTTTAGGGCGTCCCAGTCTTGGAACATGACATGAAATGTCTTAGAGTCAAATAACAAGCTGCAAGCCCTAACTCTGCAAATCAAGTCCGTTTTGAAGATGGCTCACATCCAGCTTCCAAAAATCATTGGACACCTCTTTGCATACATATGGATATGTATGTGTTCGCATGCGGGAAGAAGAACAGTCTTCTAGAAGAAAACCCTTATGTCGGCCCTAGAACAAAGGTCACAATGCAAGACAGGAAAAAAAAAAAACCACACACAAAGAAAACTTACCACAAAACCCCCTGATTTTGGAATAGCAACAGTGTTGAGGGCAAGGTTCCACAAACACTAATGCAAAATGAAGCCTTCATAGCACAGATACTAGACCTGCAGCTCCCCTGGAATGTGCAGTGCGATGAGCTATTAGTGAAGTAGCCAGAATACATAACAAACATCTAGATTGGCAACAGCACACCACAGCCACTACTTTCCATGGATGCTCTCCTTTAGCATCTTTTCTTTTAGCTTAAAAAAAAAAAATCTGGAAAGGATTGAGCCCTGGCCTCAGCTCTACATTTCTCACTCTTCTTAATGTGAGCCAAACCCTGGCTGTGACATCAGGTTGTGGTACACTCCTACTTCCTTGTTTATTTATACACAGTATCTTTATTCTGACTTTTATTGCTTAAAACACCAGCTGTGCTGGGAAGACAGAACTACCTGGAAAAGGAGCTGCTCCCACTCAGGAGCCAGGTCAGTGTATGTGGAAGACCAAAGCAGGACTTCTATCCTATAGCACCTAGGAGTAGGTCTCAAACCCATGGGGAACAACCTGCTGCAGGCCCATGCACAAGACCAGGATCATTAGAACCTGAAGGATTCTTGCTGCCCTCTTGGGCTTGCTCCTATTCCTACCCTGAGCTGCACTTCAGCTACTGCAGATCTTGGACTCTGCTCACAGGTTCAAGGATTACCACTGAGTGACTGCCAGAAGCAACACTGGAGTCTGGTCTGTGCATTTGGTAATACATGGTTTACAAGTCTTCTCTAAACACTATCAGTTGGCCAACTGCAGACAAAGATCCATTTTTTTTTTTTTTTTTTTTTGGAAGTCACACCATCACCAGAGGGGCCTCCAACTTCTCTGACAAAGCCAGAAGAAGGCCAGGCCTTGTTTCTAGACACCACGTGCCACCCTGCAACAAGCAGAAAGGATCTCAGGCACAAAGTGAGCAGCTGCAGTGGGGAGAAAAGAAGGTGGAAGGGTGGGGGAGAATGTGTCCATAAGCAGGCATCCAACAAATGCTTGTCTAGGATTGACTCTTCAGGGTTGCCAAGTTAGCCCCTATTCAGCACAGCTAAGAGCTTTGAGTACTGAAAATAAAATCAAAAATTTTAAAAGTTTTTTTTAAAAAAAATGTCTCAAAGACCTGCAGGCAAGTTATGTTTTGGGGTTAACTGCAAACCCTTTGAAAGCCAGGTAAGAGAAGGCATGCCAACAACCATAAACCAATTCTTTGCTGGAACAGTTTCATGGGGCACCAGCAGAGGAACCTTCTCCAGCCTTCAATCCAACAGAGAAGTCTGTGAGATACCAAGGTGGACAGAGAAAGGGAACAGGATGGTGTGATGAGGGTTAGAGGGAAAAAGTAGATTGGTTAATACAGTGAAAGTCTAACACTTCTACCAGTCCCTTTCCCACCCATCGCCCTGTCCATCATGTTTTCATACAGGGACATCTTTTCAAAACCAAGTGGGGAAAAAAAAACAAAACACCAAACAAACAAACAAAAACAACCTTAGTGAATTTTGTCACAGGGCCCTGCTGAAAGAAGGCTCAATAATTTGCACATTAGAAGGACATGAACTCTATGCAGAAAGTGCTGCTAGAAAAGGAGAACTCCAAGTTGCTAAATATGGCCTGAACGCTCTCAGGACATGTCGTGTAACAAGGAGAAGCTTGAGGTCCAGGCTGAAATCAGAGGAAATGCAGTCTTGTCTGGGGCTGTAAGCGAGTGTCTCAGCACAGTCCAAGAGCCCTGTAAGTCTCTCCCAAAATGCAAGTGTCTCTGGCTCCCACGCTCAGTCCATCTCCATCGACATTAGCCGGCGACGCTCTCGTCTTGTTTCCTGCACCTCCTTCTTGCAGCACCAACGGGAGCTGCAGTAGCCAATGAGGCATGATAAGAGTCCAATGACAGTGGCCAGACCAATGCCAATCAACAGGGGATACTTGAAAGCGTTCAGAACTGAAAGAGGAAGGCAAAGTCATTAGACATCACTGAGAAATTCAGAGATCCCCTTTACTTGTTCTTGCCTAAAAAGGGAGAAAAATCTCACATTATTCAGTTATGGGGAGATTAATTTCTTCAGAAGGAAACTACATTAATTTTCCTTCTTGGTTTCTGTCTTTTGAGATTTGGAAAATTAGTCTCTTACTGGCCTCCCTTACCTCCTCACCCTAATTCTTCCTCCACCATTTCAAAGCCTCAGAGAGGCTGGAAGCACCAGAGGAACCTTTGAGTAAGACAGCAAAGTAAAGCTAGTTCCAAGAGGTATTCCATTACCTGTTCCTCCAAGAAAAAGCTTTGCAAGGCTTCCCCATCAGAGGCAGAGTGCTTGTTTCCAAATGGCAAGGAGTGGACTCCTCTATGCTTTGCTTGATTAGAACTACTTATACAGTATATTCACTGCCACTTGGCAACCCTGTCTAATCAGCCTCCAAAGTTAGTACCCAAACAAGAAATTTGATTTGTAGGCACCTACTGCTCAGTTAAAAGGCAGGGTCAAGAACTGTAAGGAGTTTGGAAAGTACAGTTATAACAGTTATCTGCACAACAGGGAGAAAAAAAAAATTCTGATTCCTTTCAAGTTCACAGAACTTCCCAATATGACCTTTTCTGGAAATATTCAGAAAAAACAACTAGTTCATAACCCCTCCTACATTAATTTTCCTTCTTAGCTACGTGCTGAATGCAGCATGTAGTGTGCAACTTGCTTCCCATCAAGTGTAGCATCATTTGCAACTCAGGTTGGAAAGCAGACAAGGCATTAAGTGCAGGGAGCAGCACGCCTTGTGGTTAGGAGAGGGAGGAAGGAGTCAGGGTTCTGACTTTCTGTTCTCAGCTTTGATATTAACCACAATGCAAATCTACTTCAGCATGCCCCCTCTGCAAATCAAGGCTCCCTCCTGCAGGCAGCAGAAGGGTTAACACTTAGAGAGAATACTATGCCTTGATTGAAAGATGCCCCAGCTGTGCAAAACATCACCAAGAGGCAATCAGGAAAGAGAACACTCCAGTCTCATGAGTATGATCTCTTCAGGCCTACCTACACTACAGAATGTGGATAATCAGAAGTTACAAACAATAGAAAAGGATAAAAAACCCTAATGAGATTATCCCAGACACCTTGAAATACAGCCATGGGAAATATTTGACACAGAAAGCCATAACAAGGTGTTAAAAAGTATTGCATAACATGTTACAATCTCTTACCATCCATTTTCACAGATAGAAAAATGGGTTTGGCTTTGATGTCAGGTTCCCGCTGCCATACGCCAGTGGCGGATCGCACCCATGGGGTCACTACGCAGTAGTGGTTCCCAAAGTCATGGTCCTCACAGCCATGCACGCGGAGCCGGAATTCCAGGGGGCTGATTCTCTCCAGGCTGAGATCGCTGCTCCCATTTCTTCTGCTCTGCATGACAATCCCTCTCCTGTCCAGCGAAGCCAGCAAGACGGGCTCTCTGTCCAATGCAAAGGAGCGCACAGCAAACCAGGAGACATCAAAGGACATATCATCTGCATTTGTGGACAAAGAAGAATTTGGACATGTTGGTGGGCTCCAAAGAGTATTCATAGTGCCACTTCTCAGCAGAAAGGTTAATCTGCAAGCAGCATAGCCAACACTAGTCTGACAGTGGAATAAAAAAAAAAAAAAAGAAAAAAAAGAAAAGAAAGAGAAAAAAAAGAAAAAGGAAAAAAGAGTGCCCTGAACATGTCCTTTCTAGGAGGATTCAAGCAACAAACTGCAATGAAACGCACTGGCATGAAGAATGTAGCTGCACAGAATGGGTGACTTACTACAGGGACGACAAAAGGGAGGTTTCTGGTTTTCCTGCCTGCCATTCTGAAATTTATATTTCACCTCTGATTTAAGTTTTCACCAAGCAGGCCTAGTGTCATAAAAAGTTCTGTAACTATGCTGAACCTAGACTGAAAAGGGATTGGAAGTACAATGCATTTGCTAGCAGAGAGTGATTTGCAATCACTGTCTTCATGCAGGGCCTAAAAAACCACAAAGTCAGAAGGCTCTTTCCTGAAGGCTCCTTCCTTACATTTCATATGCCTAAATGAATACAGAGATTCTACACAGAGCACAAAAAATTACCTACAAAAACACAAAGCATTCAGGAGCAAAGCCCAACCATGATGCTTTTATACATTTTTTCCAGAGTTGTGGGTTACTGTCACACACTATCAGGCATCACGCCTTTTACAAGTTTTACCACCCAAGGAGACAGTCTACAAAAGGCAATTACAACACCTTTAACATTTAACGTAGCTGACAGGTAGTCAGAGTTCATCAATACATTAGTTCTTTCTATGTTCATGCAAGATCCTATTGATCCCATTAGGAGATCTCAGTCTCAACCCTATTAGGCTGATGTAGCTGAGCATCTACTTTAAAAATCACTGCTATTCTTTGCTAATGTGAGCCCAGCAACACCTGTCAGTCTGTAACCTGGCATGACCTAGAGCACAGACAGGAAAGCCTGCTCGCTTGTTTCATCTACAGGTCTTCCTTCTTGGCACACAAGTAAATTGATGGGCCCAAACTGGAAACAGAGGTCACTATTTCTGTCCTGAGTTTTGGGTACTGGTAGAATGTGTGCACAGCACTTAACCTTTTCAGAGCTAAGACAGTCCTAGTGATTTTGGCAATGTATCAAACTTTCACTTGCTAGTATTGAGATCTCTGAAAAATACAGTATTAGCAACCTGAAATTTAAAACTGTTTGTCTAATTGAGTTTGCTCTTCTCTAAACTTCCACATTTGATCTCCAGGCAAATGGAAAAATTAAAGCCCTGCTGCCATACTCAAATTCTTTGCAGATCTAAGTGAAGACAATTTTTAAGCTGGAAGGAAGGAAGGGAACCTTAAAATAATATTTTAAAGCAAAGGGAAGGGACATCCTCAGCTCTGCTACTTAAGCATAGCATCAGCTGGACAGGTAGAACATTCCCCCTTCCTGCAGACAAAAACCACCCACTGTTTGGGATACAATTAGCTCCCCTGTAAGGTGCACTGGTTTTTACACACATCTTCAAAAACAAAACAAAAAGATGAGAAAGCCGATGTTACTAAAAGAAACAATGGCTGATCAAACTGTTTTGAGACGCCAGCCAGCTTCTTGCCCTGCCTGGCACAGTCAGCTGCTCCAGATGACAGCACAGAACCTCAAGAGAGCACCTTGCCTTTTTTGCAGCCCTATAGCAGGAGTAGATTTCCCAGTCCTACATGGGGATCAGTATAGGTCATATGGACCAGCAGCCCTCACAACAATCACTGTTGCCTATCATACTACAAACACTACTGTTAGTTACTTGGCATAGCACTCAGATTGCTTCCCTTGAAAGCAAAGTTAATAAAAATTACCATAAACACATGTTCAGTTAACGGGTCCAAACCTTGACCTCTGTTTTGTGTACTCATCCAACTGTCTGTGGGAAACAGGGCCTCTACTGGAGAGAGTTCTGTTTCTATAAACTACTCTTCGTCTCTGCTGCCTGTTTATGCCAAATACGGTAAAAGCACTGGTCCACTGGCAGTCACGTTGGGAACGACCAATTCCTTCCAAAGATCATCAAGACTGCCTGCCATTAGCTCTTGTGTTTCCAGGTACCGTAGGAGCATATGGACACCTTCCAGGCTAAGGCCAACTACACTGAACATGCCATTGCACTTGCTAAAAACTGTTTAAACAATAAATTTAGATATTAAAAAAATAATCTAGCCTTCAGATTCCCAGGCAACTTGCTACCTTTGAGGAATTCCTTTTTTCAGTCTCAGTTAATTTGAGGTTCCCTTCCCTCCACATACAAATATGAGTGCAGACACTTGCTGTCACTTTGAAACAGCTGCATCTATCTTCTGTAATTACAACATGGGACAACAGTATTATGCCAACATATTTTATTAGTCAGTATACACAGTGTGCAATTAGTGACTCACTACAGACAGAGGGAGGATTTGGCTCCAAGTACTCTTTGTCACTATCCTCCTTGAAGTAGCTTAATATAGGCAAAGGAATCTGATTCATTTCTATATAACTCTGGTTTTCATGCAATAAAAATACAGGAAAATTTAGCAAAACCAGGACATAAATCAGGTGCTCTCTAAAGATCAGTGACAAATGTGCCTAGCACCTCCCAAGTGCTAATAAATATGTAGTTTTACTGACATAAAACATGTCACACACTAGGCTTCCCAAAAGCATCTGTACCATGCCACACACACCTTGCATCCATGTTGACAAGTCACTCACAATTTTTGTCTCCAATCCACAAAAAACAAACCCAAACACAAGAATCACACTCACACTTAACACTACAAAAGTTTCTTTCACCAGTTTCTTCTGTGCTCCACAACGTCGTAAGTAGTGTGAGACACCTGGACAAGGTGGAGGAAAGCATTACATCCCAGTGCCAAACTCAGAAGGCCATCAAGGACCTCAGAGCCCCCAGGTCATGCAACTCAGCTGCTTTCATAACGGAACACAAAGCACTGGGAGCTGGACGCTTCAGAGCTCTGTTAGCAGAGTAATAGCGGTGCTATGCTTCCTCCCCTCCTCAGTGAGGATCATCAACATGTAAAGCACATCTTTATGCTCATTTCAATTTGACACACAGGACTAAGCTGTCTGGGTCTTAGCTGCTTCCTTGGCCAATCCCTCCTCAAACCAGGGAATCCTATTTCTAGACCAGCTCTTAGGAACACTTCCACTCCTTAGAATGGAGCTCTCTCAGCATCTTGTTACAGTGCTGAATCACAATTTTGAGACCCTTTTTGTTTACTACATTTAAATGAGGTTGAATAGGGCTTCCTAGAGAGCTGAGCAAACCACTTCAAGCCATACAAGAGGTAAACAAGCTGGTTTTGTTAAATTCTCCAGAGTGCCTACTGGGTCTGTCTGGAGCACATGAAAAACACATCTCCTTTCAGGCTCAGTAAGTAATACTTTAAAATCCCTAAGCACATAGTCCAAGAAGGGGTGATCTGGGAAGTCTAGAGAGATCGTTTTGAAAATGTGTATTCAACATAAATATCAGAAGCAGCTTTTATATCTTCAGGGCACAGAAGAACTACTATTCTCCCCTGACACACACATACTCCCCTCACATCAATTCAAAACACCAACCACAGCTGCCAAGCCAAAGGAACACTTCTTTAGATGGAGCGGTTGCTGCCATGTACTGAGCTTAGTAATACACACTCCATTTCAGCTGGGTCTCCAAGAAGCAGAGGAAATTAAAGCACACAGCAGTCATGCCAAAACCTTTTCCACCCTTTTGAAAATTTCCCACAGGGTGGGTACACACAAGCACACACAGAGTATTGTGAATTGCCTCTACAAGACCAGGGTCCAACCCATAAGTGATGCTCCTAGAAACAAATGGATCTAACTGTGACAAAGATCATTGGTCATTTAACTTTTCCTCAGCTCCTTGGAAGTACTTTATTTTTCTGACTGTGCCTACAGAGAGGGAGAAGAGGTGGCACATGGCACCTCAACTTATTACAGGAAGCATACATACTAATCCACATGCATGCTTGCAAAGTTGAGTGCCTATGGGTACAAGAGCAGAGCTGGCTGGCATATCAAGTGTGTTCAAAGTGTTTTGGATGCACATTTAACAAGACATCCTATGAAATTCCCTGATCCTTCTTTGCTCGTAAGAGGGCCCAAAACACAGCCCTGCAGCAGGTCTGACACCAGAAGAGTAGATGGCCTTTGGAAGCCATCATGCCCGTTAGAAGAGTGTCAAATGCAATTGCTCTGCTTTCTCATCACATTCCCAAATGGAAGGACCATGTCTGTACTACTGTCATCTGATTTCTTCTAGGTGATGCTGGCAACTCTTGCTCTGTTTATCTGATTACCTGGTGTAAGGCTTTCCCTAACAACATGCCTCATTCCCCCACTGGGATGAGACAGCCCTGTTATTTTCACAGTCTGTCTAATGTTTGGCACTCATTTAAAAACCAAGTTCTCCATTCCAGCTGTGAATTAAATTGTGATACTAACTCAGCATAGAGACAGATCAGAGATGGGATAGAGGGGAACAGGGTTACTACTGAGGAGTTACATCTGTTTGTTATCACATGAGCCCTTAAGGTCCTTCTTCACCTAAGCTGTTCCACTACCCCACTGCTCTAGTCCCCTCCATCTCTCAAGGCCAAGACTGACAAGGGAAGTCTGCACACCCTACAGCTGTTCCCTGCAGCTCTTCTGCCAGTCTCATCCAGAGGATGAGCAAGGACTGAAGAGAGGTCAGATTCTCAGCGCCATACAAAAGGCCCAGATGAGGTTTCTCTGCACAGTATGGCTGGTTAGGCCCCAAATGCTGCTCATTCAGCAAATGGAGGCTCAGAGCATGGACAGAAAGGTTCCCTCAAAACCTGCCACAATGCCACACTTCACTCCATTCTAGGCATATCTGTTGCCTGTGCTTCATCTGCCCCACTACAGACTCAAAAACACCCAAATCAAAACAACCCAAAACAAACAAACAAAAACACAAAAAAAAACCCAAAACATAGAGGCAGAGATTTGCCATGTTCAAGATGGCATTACCCAGCTATGGAACAAATTACAGTGCTGACATTTAAAACTCTGCACTGGCTGCTCATGACCACTGGAAACAGCATAATTTCCAACTCTAGGCATCATCTATCAATTCAACAGACATCTGTGAACCCCTATGAAGTTGCCCAGTTAAAACTTAATTGTGCTGAAGAGCAGCTCCTCAAAGAGGACACCTTTTTACTTCAATCCCTTTGATTATCCTTATCTTGCCAATGCTTCTCCCAGTCTCAGGCTACTAAACACACAAAAAACCATCACGAACCCAACTGCAGCAGAGCACTGACAGGAGAGCTCCACTGTTACTAAGTGGCCTCTTTTCAAGTTTTAAGTGAGTCAGGGGTGCTGAGGCCTCTTTCACAAGGCAACCGCAAGCTTATTTTAGCTGTCAAACACCAGCAGAAGCAGCAGCTGCTCCCTGACAGGAATTATTGCTTTGCAAAGGAAGGCAGCTGCTTTGGGTACTGCATCACAACAATACCTGGAGGAGCTCAGGCACACCTCAGCTTAGAAGAGGCTTCCAGCCGAGCAGAAACCACAGGACAGACCGAGGTACACATACAGGCATACGTTGCTGCTTACTGTGTCCAATATCCCAGGCTATGAGTCTTTTGACAGCAATAAAGTTTATTCAGCTTTTCCTCCCTACCAAGCATTTCAATAATATAATCTACAGCCTTCTTGGAATGTCAAAGTGACGGCCTTCACTAAGCTTGGTACTTCTTCTCACTCATCAGCTACTACACTGTAAGTAATATTTTTTGCACGGCACCTCTTTTGTAGTGGCTTATGCATAGATTTCTAATTTTCACATTAATTATTACATCTTTATATTTAGGTATATACATTTATATATTTATATTTGCATACAAATTTATAGATTTATTTTAAATACCTTTTATATTCATATATATGTAGAATGACTTTTAAAAAACTAAACTCACCCCAAACCCAAATTTTGGATACAATAACCGGAGTTATTCTCACAGCATTTTGATGAAAAGCAGTTCAGGCAATGCTTGGCAAGCAGCTAGGTTTTGAGCAATTCTCTGAACTTTTCAGCTCTTCATAAAGATTGCCTTTAAAGCATTCACTATCCTTTTCACAGCAGTTAGGTACTGTGTTTCTTTGTTGTTCCACATAAAAAAGGAGGTTCACCTTTTAAGGCATAAGCAATGAAAATTAATTTTTGGCATTTAGGCTGCAGTAGTCAATTACTATGTTTTTTAGACTTACATTGGCCAGGTGACTTTTGTTTGTAGATGACTGTTTTCCCAATGGACCTCCTTTCCAATTAAAGGAAAGGGAAATAATTTTCATGGCCCATCTAGTGGTTGTTGGATGAGATTGACAGCAGTGGGGTCAGTTGGTACAGACAGCACAGGGGGTTTTAGCAGTAAGAACGCTTTTTTCCCCTCCCCTCAGAACATGAAACAAAAAACCTTGTTTTAAATTTGGCTGTGTAAAGCAAACATGCTCTACTGTATTATCTAGTTCTATAGGATTTTCAATGCTGGTTCTCAGTTCTCCAGCCTCACTCAATGGACACAGGGTTGTAACTGCTGGTATTATTCTGCCTGGTGAAGGCAAATGAGTTACAAGTAAAATAATTTTGCCAAAATACCTGGCTCAAGTGCCATTCCTTCTGTTGTGACGATACACAGCAAATCTGCCAGCTCACCCTGGTAAATCATCAGGTTGTCAGAATGCACCGAGACGTTAAACACAGGACCTAGAAAAGAGTAACCACAATTATTCATGACAGGCTTTTCTTCAGTGTCCAAAACCCTTGCATGGTTTTGAAGTATTCTCTGCTAGTTTGTGGAGACAGAGCTCTGAAGAAGGAATAAGCAATCATGTAAGTTTTCGCAAAATAGTTATCCAATTTTAGCCATTAATTCCTGCACTAAGACAAAGTACCCAAACTGCCAGACCTGCCACCCAACACAGAGGCTGCTGCTGAAGTCTGCCTTCTACTGTCTGGCAGAAAAGAAGCCAGTTTTCTAGTGGTGACTCCTCTAAGAGCATGAGAGCTCAGGTCTTCAAGCTAATCCAGCATGGATCTTTTTTGGCTGAGGCTGTCAATAGAATTCAAGTTCGAGCAAACCAGTATTTTAACAATACAGATGGTTCTGCTATGGAACTGAAGCATGGACAACAGAAGAAGTGCATCTGATAACACTTTCTGTGGGTTTTCCTTCAGACTCTGCCACAGATAGCTTCGTCTGTAGAAGGTGTCTCAAAGCCCAAGGGTACAGTAACTCCTTCAGTTGCAAAGTGGCGATGATATTGATGAAAACCATTAGGCTGTTATGAAATGCTCAGACACCATGACAACATGTGGTGTTTGACCTCTGAAGTACATAAGTTAAAAAACAAAACTTCCCCAAATTTTGACAACAACTCCATCTCTGATGCAAAATTAGCAAAACCACAACTCCTCAGATACACCAACAGTGCCAGTACTCTCTATTTCACAGGGCAGAAACTGAAGAATGTGTCAAAATACCCTTAGTGATTTCTCTACTAAACAAGGTGAAGGAGATAAGTAGGAAGAAAACTGATGCTAATGGTGGCCTCCCAGGGGTCAGGGAACTCAAGAAGGAAGCTGGGACTTAGATTAAGAAGTAACCTTTTTTACCCTCCTTGAACTCCATTAGCTGCTATCATTACCTGGCTCAGCTACCTCTGGGACAGTAGCAGCAACAAGCAGCACTGAAAGGTGGTTTGGGAGGAAAGAAAAGCTGTTGGAAGATTTGCACTACTCCACTCTTATATGCTACTGTTTTAGTACAAGAACTGTAAATTTCAAATCCACTGAAGATCAGTGGTAAACAATGCTTTTGATGTTGAACATTTAACGAAATCATCCAAGACAACCCACTTGTCCCTTGCCCTCCCAACAGGTTTCTGCAGAAATTTATGCTGATAACTCACTATACTGCACATGCTTATCACATCACTTGGAAACTGAAGTTCTGGAAAGAAACTTGGATGTGCTGCGAAGCAAGAGCTGTCATTTTTGGTGAAACCGTTCTACACTACAAGGGCCTGGCTTATTTTGGTCAGCAGAGATTACACAGCACGCTAGGAAACTAATTCCAATTACAATGCAATAATTACTTCTGTGGCTTCCAAAATTCCCCCCACAATTTCCACTGGGCACAATGTGCTGCTCTTTGTTATATCATAAATTTCTTACAGCCCTCTTCTCTGCCCCACAACCAGAGTATGTGTACTTTGTACACACAGGCAGTATGTAGACATTAATCCCAGAGGTTTGTACCCATTTTGACAGTAGAAGTCCTCTCTATTAAAACTTAAGATTGCAAACTACCCCACCAAGCAAGGATAAAAGGGCGGTAGAGATGCAATAAAGGTTACATATGGACTACCAGACGAGACTCCTACATGCTTATGCTATAACACATTTAAGAAAATAGGAGACCCAGAACACTTTGAAGTTCAGCTGTTCAGGTAGTGACTTCATGAGCTGGCTGCAGCCCTAAATTAAGCTCAGCATGATGGGATCCTTTTCTGGGGAAATGGAGAGATTAATCCAATTGCTTCCTCAGCCTCTTATCCAAACTCTTTCTACATGAGCTCAATTTGTTTCCTGACATTTACACACACACCTCCCAACCATATTCACCTTGCAGCCTTTTTGGTCATTCGTCTTCTGATAAAACTAGACATTTTCCATCATTTTATTTGAAGTTGTGCAGACAGTAGTTCAAGGTCTTAGGGAACTAAAGGCAGAATGGAACAGGGCACTCCAGCCAACTGTAACCAGAGGAGTCTCAACCTGTGGGTGAACTGTCACAGCAACATAAACAAAAAGACTGTCAAAATCTGCCAGGAACATCCCTGCATTCCCAGCCCATACCCTCTGCTGCATTAATCAAAGGCAAAAAAGCTCCATAATAATCTTGGTACTGTCTATAGCTCAGGGTCTATCCTAAGTCCCAGCAGCAACTGAGGTGTCAGGAGTATGGGACATTCTCTGCTTCAGCAGTCTCTGTCCTGGCTAGATGCTGGCCAGGATTGAGCAAGGGAGATGAACAGCATGATCCCAACTTTGTCAGGCTAAGGATGTGCTGCCTTACTACTGCCCAGGCAGGGTAAATAATGAAACACAGAGGGTACGTATAGACAAGACTTTTCCAGCCTTATCAAGAAATAAGTTAAAATAAAAATAAATTAAAATAAGTTAAAAGTCCAAGCATCTATTGCATTCAACAGACATTGGCTTCCAACCCTGGCATGCCAATAAACCACCAATGTAGAGTAAACCACCAATGTAGAGTCTGAGCATTCCTGGCCATTGAATGTCAAGAAGGTAAAAGCTAAACTTGTTTGGTCACATAGCCAGGACAGGCCATGTATCAGGGTAACGCAGCACTCCCTACGTACTCTTCAGTTCTGGGTCATGGAGTGCATCTCTACTCTGCCTCCCACATGAAGAGTCAAAGTTTCTTGGGCAGTAAGAAGGCTGCTAGGCAGCAGCTGCTCTGTCATTTCATGATTGTACTTCCCCTTGGTAAGCCACAAACAATTATTTCCTTTTGGTTACTTCCCTACTAGGGTACATCTCCTGCAAATTACCATCTGTACCTCCAGGGAGAAATCATTGTCCTGTGTGCAAAGAACTGGATTTCAACAGAGTTGAGAGCAGCGGTAGTGCTCTTCCCTCTCCAGCTGAAAAGGGAAAATTAGTTTTATTTTTTTAAACCTAAGCAATCTTCATTACAGACAAAGCTGCTTAGTTCAGTCTTGAAAACTGTGTGGTTGCAATTTCCTAGGAGGAGCATCTTCCTACTGTGGAAGTATCTCAGGCCTTCTTCCCACACTACCCATGCCCTGGGCCTCAGGCTGCTCTCAGACATGAAAGGACAGAATAAAGCATTTTCATAGATTCTGTGCCCCACCCCTGCCACCCCCAACCTGAAAAAGCAGGAGACTGTTTTCAACAGAGACCCGTTAGCCTTGAGCTGGACCACAAAGACCATTTAATCCCCTACCTTTGACCATAAGGTACACTTGAGTCAGAGCTGTAGTCACTACATAGCCTGGAAAAGATTCATAGAAGCTGATGACATGGCTCCAATCCCTCATTAAGTCATCTGCATGCTGCCCTTCTCTATTGAAAGGTTTTGGTCTTGGTTTTGTTCAATTTTCTTCTAAAAAACCCAACTGATCAGTGCTTTTAACCTGATTATAACTTGCTGGATTTATGTCCCCAGCTTAAACAATTCAATCTGGCCTCAGCTGAATCTGTTTGGCAACAGGATGAGAGAAGTAGGAATGAGCTGCATACCAATCTCAAACAAAAGCAGCAGCAAACCAGTGTTCATTAGAGGGTTACACGTAAAATCATCACCTTATCTGACTGGACATCCACTTTACTGCAGGCTCAGGAAAAGCACCTGTGCAAAAAACAGCACCAGAGTAAACATGGGATGCTTCCAGACACATTTTCAAGACTCCTGAGGACCTCCCAAGAGGTCACAAATGTGCCACAAAAATCTTGTGGCAAGGTGCAGATCCTGTCGGGTTTTTTGTCCCCATTACCATCACACCACAGTATCCAAGAGGCCCTGGACTTAGACTCCACCAAGCAGGGCTTGGCACATAAAAACCAAGTGCTTTTCTTAAGTTTTTACCCTCCCAGAAAAAAAACCCCTTAACTCAAAGCCTACAGGTGCAGGCATGTGGTAACAGGCACCTCCCAGTAGACACTGATGACACCAACTATGAGAGTCTCAGCATTGCCATGCTCAAGCACTTGCAGTGTTGTCACAGGAAGTGTTGCGGAGGTGACATGAATTCTTCGATGAGATCCGAGTTCATGCTACATTAACACTGAGAAAAATACAACTCTACAGATAACCGATGATGTAGCTTTGCTCACCTTGCCACTTGTATTTAACAGTTTGAAATACTGTTATTGGCACCTACTGGTCACTCGGGAGAATAAACAAATCAGAACTTAGTTTCAATTGCAGGGTTGACAGATCAAGCATGACCTGTAAAGCTCATCAAGAACAAAGCACAGTTAAGTGTAGGAAAGCTGCTCAGGAGTTTGAAAGCTGAGAAATAATTGGATTTTAATAACTTTAGTTTTGAAGATAGGTGTCATGCCGTTGGCTAATTCAGAAACTAAAGAGCATAGATTTACAAAACAAACCAGCATTCGCAATTCTAAGAGCTAAGCATCAACCTTCCTCTAAATTGCCATCTTCTGCTGAGACCTCTGATTTAACATGAGACAAAATCTCTGCTCCTCACTATAGGAAGGCCTATGTAAGCTTAGATACAACCCCTAAAAGAAGTTTTCTTCTTTATTAAAGTAATAGCAATTTTATATTAAAAAGCATCTGCAATCAAGATAGGAATAAAAAGAGTTTTCAGAGCATTTTTTGACTTCTGAATGCTTGAAAAACACTATATAATTTTAAACGGGAAGTGAAGGAACTGAGGTTAGAAGTTTACTAGTACAAATCTAGCAGTGCTTAAAGAGAAACCAGGTTCCAAGATCAGGACTTGTTTGGTGTAATTTCTTCTGAATGTCCCCTTTTATGGCAGATCTCCGTGCTCAAACTGTTGATTTCATGCAACCCAGGAAGGAAACTCCAGGATCCAAATCCCTCAGTAATAGTTTTCAGCTAAAAAGTGTATTGCAAATTCTTCCACATATGTAAATGAAAGGAAAAAGTGTTTGTAAGCTGTACC